TGAAATTTCTAGAATTATTTTGGAATTTTTTCCGAACGCACATGCGCACAATGAATATTTTATACAATTTCTAGAATAGTCTAGAATTTTTTTAGAATTTCAGTGTACACCAAATTTGAAGAAATTTAACCCTCGCTTTCAAGGTGCGAATAGCTTCCAAAAACGTAAAGACTCTTCAAGGCTTTTGGAAATTTTTGGCGGTCCTTAACGGCCATACACCCTTAAAATCGTATCAAGGACTCTTAATAGTTCTCAAACATTTTTACATTTTTGAAAGTTGTTAAAGCTCTTAAAGATTCTTTAATATCCTCTGGAAATTCATCAAAACTCTCAAAGATTTTAAAGAGTCTGGAGGACTCTTTTGGAGACCTCAATGAGAACCTCGGGCTTCTTCTAAGGTCTCTCAAGAATCCTTCAAAACCCGGTTCAAAACTAAGTGCCTTTAAAATGCCGTTATAAACGATTGAAGGCTTTTGAGAGAGAAAGCAATAGAGAGAAATTTTCTAGAATTTTTTAGAAGTTTTCTAGAATTTTTTAGAATTCTCACGAATTTTGTTGAATGTTTTAGAATTTTCTAGAATTTTTTTACAATTGTTTAGTACCTTTTTTGAATTTTCTAGAATTTTTTTCCCGAACGGACATGAGCACACAATTATTATTTTATACAATTTTTAGAATTTATGGCTCTTTGCGACTCTTAAAAATCTTTACTCACATTTTCGCTTCGAGCATAAGTTTGCTCATGTTTGCCTGATTTATGTCGAACTCGCCTTCGGATCGCTCGGCGTCGGCAAAGAAATGACTTTTAAATCTGCGTCTGTACAGTGATCGAGGATAAGTTCAGCAAAAATATGCTGAAATTGAAAAGCGGGTGCTCGATTTATGCCTTACTTGCCTTTGGCTGCTCGGAATTGCTATAGTAACCAATGCCCAGCGAACCGAAGGTGAGTTCAGCACAAATCGCACCCACTTTTCGATTCCAGCATAATTTTGCTGAGGTTTGCTTAATTTATGTCGAACTCGCCTTCGGATCGCTCGACATCGGTAAAGAAATGATTTTCTTAATCTGCGTCTGTACAGTTACCGAGGATAGATTCAGCAAAATTATGCTGGAATGGAAGAGCGGGTGCTCGATTTATGCCTTACTCGCCTTCGGTTCGCTCGGAATTGCTATAGTAACCAGTGCCCAGCGAACCGAAGGTGAGTTCAGCACAAATCGCACCCACTTTTTCGATTCCAGCATAATTTTGCTGAAGTTTGCTTAATTTATGTCGAACTTGCCATCGGATCGCTCGACATCGGTAAAAAATGATTCTTTAAATCTACGTGTGTGCAGTTACCGAGAATAAATTCAGCAAAATTATGCTGGAATTGAAAAGTGGGTGCTCGATTTATGCCGAACTCGCCTTCGGATCGCTCGGCGTCGGTAAAGGGACGACTTTTAAATCTACATCTGCACAGCTACCGAGGATAAGTTCCGTATAAAGCTTCAGCAAAATTATGCTGGAATTGAAAAGTGAATGTTGAAGTTTGCATGATTTATGCTGAATTCGCCTTCGGCTGGCTCGGAATTGTCGTAGTAACAAGTGCCGAGCGAACCGAAAGTGCGTTCGGCACAAATCGCACTAACTTTTCGATTTCAGAATAATGTTGCTGAAGTTTGCATGATTTATGCCGAACTCGCCGTCGGCTCGCTCGGAATTGCTATAGTAACCAATGCCGAGCGAACCGGAGGTGAGTTCGGCACAAATCGCATCCACTTTTCGTTTTCAGAATAATTTGTCTGAAGTTTGTTTGATTTATGCCGAACTCGTCTTCAGCTAGCTCGAAATTACCGAGCGAACCGAAGGCGAGGTCGGAGCAAATCGCACTCAATTTTTGAATTCAGCATAATTTTGCTGAAGTTTGCTTGATTTATGCCGAACTCGCCTTCGGCCCGCTCGGAATCGCTATAGAAGGCAATGCCGAACGAATTGAACGCGAGTTCGGAACAAATCGCACTCACTTTTCGATTTCAGAATAATTTTGCTGTAGTTTGGATGATTTATGCCGAACGCGCCTTCGGTTCCCTCGGAATTGATATAGTAACCAATGCCGAACGAACCGGAGGCGAGTTCGGTGCAAATCGCATCCACTTTTCGGTTTCAGAATAATTTTTCTGAAGTTTGTTTGATTTATGCCGAACTCGCCTTCAGTTAGCTAGAAATTGCCGAACGAACCGAAGGTGAGTGAGCAAATCGCACTCACTTTTTGATTTCAGCATAATTTTGCTGAAGTTTGTTTAATTCATGCCGAACTCGCATTCGGATCGCTCGGAATCGCTATAGCCGAACGAATTGAAAGGAGTTCGGCACAAATCGCATTCACTTTTCAATTCGATTCGAGCATAATTTGAGTGAAGTTTGCTTGATTTATGCCGAACTCGTCTTCGGCTAGTTCGGAATAGCCGAGCGAACCGAAGGTGAGTTCGGCACAAATCGCACTCACTTTTTGTAACGTATTAAGTTTTTTAATAACCCTTAGAGATTTTCAAAAGCTCTTAAGCCGTTCAATACCAATCTCTAAGCACCTCTAAGCCCTTCAAAGGTTCTTAGAGTCCCTTGAAAACGTAAACGTAACGGAAGAGATTCTTAAAAGCCCTCAAAAATCCCTAAAGATTTAAAAGTGCGTCTTAGCCTTTACGCACTCTTGAAACTCACTCTTAAAAGCTCGGTTAATGTGTTTAATTTCTCTTAAACCTCTGTTAAAAAACCCTTGAAGTCACATAAGTTTTTCAAGATTTACAAAAGCTCTTAAAGATCGTTAAAGATGCTTTAATGATTTTAAAAAACACAAAAGCTCTTAAAGATTCCTCAAACACATTTGTACACGCTCTTAAAAAGTCTTGAGGGGACTCTACCAGTGTAGGCCTTACAAGGCTTTTGGTGCCTCGTAGAGACTATAGAAAACATTCGAAGATTCTTAAAAGTAAGACTTAGAGTTAGCCTTTAAATGGCATCCGAAAGATCTTAGAAACTGATGGCGACTCTTAAAGCCTTTAAATGTATTTAGAGCCCTTTAAAAATCACTGTTAAAAACTCGTTGAGTCACTTTTTCAGCGTCAGCATTTCAAAATTTACAAAAGCTCTTAAAGATGGTTCCTAAATTCCGTCAAAGGACCCAAAAGCTTTTAAAGGCTGTACGTTTGTAAAGACACTTTTCTTATCAACTTTCGAAAGCTTTTAAATACTCTAAAAATCCAGGATCTTAAGGTCTCTTGGAGAAAAACTCTCAAAAGCTTTAAATGCCAATTAAAAGTCCTCCAACCCTTAAAGGACTGTTTGGGCCACTTGGAAGTTGAATTGTAAACTCTCATAGACGCTCCAAAATTTACAAAAAGGCTCTTAAGGGCCTGTAAAGAACGAGACATCAAAGCGCGTCTCTTAATACTCCAAAAGAAGGTTTTGGACCTGGTTTTTTAATGCTTAAGGCTCTTTCAAAGACCTTCAAATGCACTCGCGCTTTAATAGATCTTCAAATCAACAATTTCAAAACGTGATGCAGTGAAAGGGGTAACAATCTCTTTGAGAAAAAGACGAAAAAAGAGATGAAGATCAGGGGGATGTTTGATGAGTTCGGCGTATGCTTGGTCGAGGGGAGTCCTGAACAATCCCCAACCCAAATGAAGAATCCAGAGGAAAGGTGGATCAATTTCTTTGGGGCCAAAACGAACTGAAAGGTAACCGAATGCGCCTAACAAACAACCAAAAAAGGATGGGTAAAGAATTCAAAATCAAAAAAGTGTAAGCAAGATGAAGGACCAGAAGGGTGGGCATTTAATAACCTTGATTTGCTTTACGTCGCAACCTTGGTACCATTTACGGAACAAAAATCGCATTGTCTTGGCGTAGCGCAGCGCCCCCTCGCCGAAAGGCGACGCGGCTTCCGCGTACCCGCCTCATTAGTCTTCGTCCAACAAAGGCGAAATGTCTGCATTGTTAAATGATGAAATTATTATAATAACAAAAAAGGGAAGGTCGCGATTCGACAAAGATCCGCTCGCTATGAATGGCGATAATAACTAAAACGCGCGCGCGTTTATAAAAATTACAGGCGAATGTAAAGATCAAAATTGAATTCGAAACTATCTCAAATTGCGCCTATTAGATTATATAAACTAGTTTAGTGTCAGCAGCAATTTTGGCACCTATCGGCGGCTTACGGGGAGATTGCAATAGTTACCGATTCTCTTTTTTTGGGCATGGCTGACCTTGTGGTAAAAAAGAAGTCTGACAGGTGACCTAGGAATGCGAAACGAGTAGTTTCCTAGTTTTTAACTCCGCGAGACCGAAATTTACAAATTATAAGCATTTTTAGTACACTTAATTAATGGGTTTCAATCAGTTTCGGTAATGGGAGGAGGGGAGGGGGCGGGAGGGGGTTTGTTTGAAAGTTCAGGGCCCCCGATGGCCATGGTCATACGTTACTGTCAAGAAGATCTAATGAATCTAGTTTCTAATGCGCATTTACGGATGCTCAAATCTGGAAGACGCTGGCCCGCAAAAAAAAGCAACAACACAAACGCTAATTAATTGTAATTAATTCGAGCGCGCGTGATTAGTTCCTTTGTTTCGCGCCTTTGGCGCGCCCCGCCAAAATGTTACACATTTTTTTCGCGGGCGAAATTGGACGGTAGTCGGACCGTTATTTCTGCCTCCGGATAAGATTATCATCGTATTATGCAGATGCCATTAAAAATCGCCGGCCTCCTCCAGATTCGGAGGTATTTTATAATTATAGTGATTGGGCGACTCGGTAGCCCAAAATTCGCTCGGGTTAGTGGAGCGTCACTTTGTACACCCCTGGCTGTTTTCGACGGAAGAGACCCGCTCGCAGGAAAACTGTGCCGTCTAAAATCAGTCACGGGGTGGCGCAAGACAGTATCATCGGTCCATTGCAATTTCGAAAATTAGCGAATTAATTAATTTCGATTTGGTTAATTCAGCGAAAATTATACTTACGCAATTCGTCCTGACCATTTGATTGGGCTGAAATGAAAGAAATTTTATTGGCAACAATAAACTGTCGGGGAATTGGCACTTCAAATTGAATAAATCGATGAATTATTCACTAAGTACTTATAATTTCGTCGTAACTCTATAATTAGGACTAATTTTTGCATATCACAACGCTTACATTCTTAATTTTCCGTCGCCTGTCCGTCTGTCTGTATGTCTGCCCGTCTTTCTGTCGAAATTATTCCATTACGAATAGTAGTAGTAACCTGTGCGGAATTATGCGATTGGGTTGTGAGAACTACCCAATTCCAAAGTATTCCATTTGGAATTTTCATGGAATTCCACCACATTTTTTGGAATTTTTGCAGAAACTCATCTAAGAGAGTCACTATTACTCACAGATTTCACGTGGAAGTCAACAAATAATTAAAAATTACGCGATTTCCAATTTTTCAATTTAGAAAATTAGCAGTTTCCCATGCGGAATTGAGTGATTGGGTTATGCAAAGTACCATCACGCAATTTCGCATGATATTCCAGAACAGTTTTAGGAATGTTTGCAAAAATCTCATTTTTAGACTGCCGTTTTGGAGTAAAAATTTCATGTGGAACTCAATAATTGTCGCAAATGATTAAAAATAACGCAATTCCAAATTTTCCCATTTGGAAAAGTAAGGAAAACACGTGTGGAATTGAGTGATTAGATTGTAAAAACTTCATTCTCGCATATTGGCATGGAATTCGATCACATTTTTTTTGGAATTTTTGCAGAAACTCACCTAAGAGAGTCACAATCACGCACAGATTTCACGTGGAAGTCAATAATTGTCGCAAATGAATAAAAATTACGCGATTTCCAATTTTTCAATTTAGAAAATTAGCAGTTTCCCATGCGGAATTGAGTGATTGGGTTATGCAAAGTACCATCACGCAATTTCGCATGATATTCCAGAACAGTTTTAGGAATGTTTGCAAAAATCTCATTTTTAGACTGCCGTTTTGGAGTAAAAATTTCATGTGGAACTCAATAATTGTCGCAAATGATTAAAAATAACGCAATTCCAAATTTTCCCATTTGGAAAAGTAAGGAAAACACGTGCGGAATTGAGTGATTAGATTGTAAAAACTTCATTCTCGCATATTGGCATGGAATTCGATCACATTTTTTTGGAATTTTTGCAGAAACTCATCTAAGAGAGTCACTATTACTCACAGATTTCACGTGGAAGTCAACAAATAATTAAAAATTACGCGATTTCCAATTTTTCAATTTAGAAAATTAGCAGTTTCCCATGCGGAATTGAGTGATTGGGTTATGCAAAGTACCATCACGCAATTTCGCATGATATTCCAGAACAGTTTTAGGAATGTTTGCAAAAATCTGATTTTTAGACTGCCGTTTTGGAGTAAAAATTTCATGTGGAACTCAATAATTGTCGCAAATGGTTAAAAATAACACAATTCCAAATTTTCCCATTTGGAAAAGTAAGGAAAACACGTGCGGAATTGAGTGATTAGATTGTAAAAACTTCATTCTCGCATATTGGCATGGAATTCGATCACATTTTTTTGGAATTTTTGCAGAAACTGATCTAAGAGAGTCACAATCACGCACAAATTTCAAGTGGAAGTCAATAATTGTCGCAAATGAATAAAAATTACGCGATTTCCAATTTTTCAATTTAGAAAATTAGCAGTTTCCCATGCGGAATTGAGTGATTGGGTTATGCAAAGTACCATCACGCAATTTCGCATGATATTCCAGAACAGTTTTAGGAATGTTTGCAAAAATCTCATTTTTAGACTGCCGTTTTGGAGTAAAAATTTCATGTGGAACTCAATAATTGTCGCAAATGATTAAAAATAACGCAATTCCAAATTTTCCCATTTGGAAAAGTAAGGAAAACACGTGCGGAATTGAGTGATTAGATTGTAAAAACTTCATTCTCGCATATTGGCATGGAATTCGATCACATTTTTTTGGAATTTTTGCAGAAACTGATCTAAGAGAGTCACTATTACTCACAGATTTCACGTGGAAGTCAACAAATAATTAAAAATTACGCGATTTCCAATTTTTCAATTTAGAAAATTAGCAGGTTCCCATGCGGAATTGAGTGTTTGGGTTATGCAATGTACTATCACGCAATTTCGCACGATATTCCAAAACAGTTTTAGGAATGTTTGCAAAAATCTCATCTTTAGACTGTCGTTTTCGAGTAAAAATTTCATGTGGAACTCAGTAATTGTCGCAAATGGTTAATAATAACGCAATTCCAAATTTTCCCGTTTGGAAAAGTAGGAGAAACCGTGATTTTGCAGAAACTCACCCACTGCAACGCACACATTTCATGTGAAAGTCAATAATTGTCGCAAATTAATAAAAACAACCCAATTCCAAAGAATTCCATTTGGAATACCAGCAGAAATTCGTGCGGAATTGAGCGATTGGGTTATGCAAACTATCCTCACCAAATTTCGTGTGGAATTTTTGCAAAAATTTCATGAGGAACCCGATAATTGTCGCAAATAATTAAAAATAACGCAATTACAAATTTTCCCATTTGGAAAAGTAGGAGAAACGCGTGAGGAAATCAGTACAAACTTATTCATGCAAATTCGGATGGAATTCCACCATTTCTGCTAGTATTCCAAATGGAATACTTTGGAATTGGGTTGATTTTATTAATTTGCGACAATTATTTACTTCCACATGAAATTTGTCCTCGATAGTGACTCTTTTAGGTTAGCTTCTGCAAAAATTCCAAAATATGTGGCGGAATCCCATGCGAATTTGCGTGAACGAGGTTTGTACAACCTAATCACTCAATTTCGCACGTGTTTCTCCTAATTTTCCAAATGGGAAAATTTGGAATTGCGTTATTTTTAACCATTTGCGACAATTATTGAGTGGCAGTTTAAAGATGAATTTTTGCAAAAATTCCCAAGGCACCTAAGAGAGTCACTATTACGCACACATTTCATGTTGATGTCAATAATTGTCGCAAATTACCAAAAACAAGCCAATTTCAAAGTACTTGCCGAAACCCGTGTGGAATTGAGCGATTGGATTATGCTAAAAATCTTCACGCAATTTCGTGTGAAATTCCAAAACAGTTATGGAAATTTTTGAAAAATTTTCATATTTAGACTGCCATTTTCGAGCAAAAATTTCATGTGAAACTCAATAATTGTTGCATATTATTAAAAATAACGCAATTTCAAATTGATCCATTTGGAAAAGTAGAAACCCGTGCGGAATTGAACATTCACGCAATTTCGCCTGATATTCCAAAACAGTTTTAGGAATTTTTGCAGAAATTTCACCTAAGACTGTAACTTTCGGGTACAAATTTCATGTGAAAATCAATAATTGTCGCAAATTATTAAAAACAACCCAATTCCAAAGTACTCCATTTGGAATACTAGCAGACTATCATTTTCGAGTACAAATTTCATGTGAAACTCAATAATTGTGGTAAAATTGAAACCAACGCAATTCCAAATTTTTCCATTTGGAAAAGTAGTAATAATCCGTGCGGAATTGAGCGATTGGCTTATGCAAACTGACCTCATTTCACCCAATTCTCAAAGATCATCGAGATTTTGACTTCAAGCGAAAAATTCACAAGCTTCAAACTGTTGCAATTTCAAGTTTAAGAACAAAGTTTTTGCAAAGCTTGAACCCTGAAGCATTCAGGACACTACAAGCTTCAATACTTCAAGTTGCAAGGAAACTTGCAAAAAACGTTGCAAAAAACAAGGTCAAATTTCAAAATTCATGAAACGTGCACTAAAGTTTTCAAAATTCCTGCCTTTCCGATTTTGACTTCAAGCGAAAAATTCACAGTTTCAAACTGGACCTTGCAATTTCAAGTAGAAAATTTAAAGCTTGAACCCTGAAGTACCACACTTTACGTTGCAGGTAAAAACTTGCATTGGGAAAAATCAAAATTTGAAACGCGCACAAAATTTCAAAATTCGTGCCTCCAGATTTTGACTTCAAGCGAAAAATTCACAGCTTCAAACTGGACCTTGCAATTTCAAGTAGAACATTTAAAGCTTGAACCCTGAAGAACTTTACGTTGCAGGTTAAAACTTGCATTGGGAAAAACCAAAATTTGAAACGTGCACTAAATTTCAAAATTCGTGCCTTCCGATTTTGACTTCAAGCGAAAAATTCACAGCTTCAAACTGGACCTTGCAATTTCAAGTAGAAAATTTAAAGCTTGAACCCTGAAGTACCACACTTTACGTTGCAGGTTAAAACTTGCATTGGCAAAAACAAAATTTGAAACGCGCACTAAATTTCAAAATTCGTGCCTCCAGATTTTGACTTCAAGCGAAAAATTCAAAGTTTCAAACTGGACCTTGCAATTTCAAGTAGAAAATTTAAAGCTTGAACCCTGAAGTACCACACTTTACGTTGCAGGTTAAAACTTGCATTGGGAAAAACCAAAATTTGAAACGCGCACTAAATTTCAAAATTCGTGCCTCCAGATTTTGACTTCAAGCGAAAAATTCAAAGTTTCAAACTGGACCTTGCAATTTCAAGTAGAACATTTAAAGCTTGAACCCTGAAGAACCACACTTTACGTTGCAGGTTAAAACTTGCATTGGGAAAAACCAAAATTTGAAACGTGCACTAAATTTCAAAATTCGTGCCTTCCGATTTTGACTTCAAGCGAAAAATTCACAGCTTCAAACTGGACCTTGCAATTTCAAGTAGAACATTTAAAGCTTGAACCCTGAAGAACCACACTTTACGTTGCAGGTTAAAACTTGCATTGGGAAAAACCAAAATTTGAAACGTGCACTAAATTTCAAAATTCCTGCCTTCCGATTTTGACTTCAAGCGAAAAATTCACAGCTTCAAACTGGACCTTGCAATTTCAAGTAGAAAATTTAAAGCTTGAACCCTGAAGTACCACACTTTACGTTGCAGGTTAAAACTTGCATTGGGAAAAATCAAAATTTGAAACGCGCACTAAATTTCAAAATTCGTGCCTCCAGATTTTGACTTCAAGCGA